TGAGAAATACTAAAAGGAGTCTTTCAGAATGAAACGAAAAGACAAGAGATAGTAACTCAAATCCACATGAAGAAATAAAAAGTACCAGTAGAGGTAATTCCTAGGTAAATATAAAAGACAGAATGAATATATTTTATTTGTCAACCCTTTCTTATTCTATCTTATTTAATAGACAACCTCATAAATCAGTAATTTTAAAACTATGTTGATAGGTTTATAATGTATAAAGATATAATTTGTATGACAATAATGGCACAAAGAAGGGGATAGGGAACAAAGCCATATAGAAGCAAACTTTGTAAATTATTGAAATTAAGTTGGTATTAATTTGAACCAGATTGTTATAACTTGATGCTAGCTGTAAGTCCCACAGCAACCAATAAAAACAACTCAAAAAATATAATAAGAAGCAATAAGAAATTAAAATGGTATATTTTAAAAAATATATAATAGAAAAGGTAATGGAAGAGAGAGGAATTTCTTTAAAAGACATAGAGAAAACAAATAGCAAAATAAAAGATGTAGGTCCTCTCTTATCAGTAGTTACATTAAATGTAAATGAATTAAACACTACAATCAAAAGACAAGGATTTGTCTAGTGCATAAAAAATGCTATTCAACTATATGTTCAACTCATAGTTAGAGACACAAATAGGTTTACAGTTAAAAAATTAAAAATTTGAGATGTGTATATGTTTACATATATTCTGCTATTGTTGGGTAGAGTATTCTATAGCTGTCTAAATCAAGTTGGTTTATATTGTTTTTCAATTCTTCCTCCTTATAGATGATCTACCTAGTTATTATATCCACTATTTTTTCCTTAATTCTATCACTTTTGCTTAATATATTTCTGGGCTCTGATATTAGATTATGGCTTCTTGATAGATTGACTCTTTTATCATTTTAAAATGTCCTTCTTTGCTTCTAGTAATCATCTTACTGCAAAGCTATAATAATCAATACAGTAGGTACTTACATAAAAATAGACATATAAATCAATGGAATAGAATTGAGAGTTCAGACATAAACCCATACATCTATGGCCAACTGATTTTTGACAAGGTACTGAGTCCATTCAACAGGGAAAGAATAGTCTCTTCAACAGTTGGTTCTGAGGTAACCAGATGAGGTTAGACCCCTACCTGATACCATATATGAAAATTAATTTAAAATGAATTGATGACCTACATATGAGGGCTAAAATCTTAAAACTCTTAGAAGAAAACAGGAGTAAATATTAGTGACCTTGGATTAGGCTATGATTTTTTTAGAGATGACACTAAAAGCAGAAGTGACAAAAGAAAAGATAGATATATTGAACTTCCTCAAAGTTAAAAAAACTTTTGTGCTTTAAAGGACACAATCAAGAAAAGTCATTTGAAAATTACTTGAAAAGACACCCCACAGAACATAAGAAAATATTTGCAAATGATATACCTGATAATGGGCTTGTATCCAGAATGGATGAAGAACTCTTACAATTCAACAATTAAAAGACAAATTACCTAATTTTTAAATGGGCCAACTATTTGAATAGCTACTTCTAAAAAGACATACAAATGACTAACAAGCTCATGAAATGTTGAATTATCTACATAATTAGTCATTATTAAATTGCAAAACAAGGGCACCTGGGTGGCTCAGTTGGTTAAGCGACTGCCTTCGGCTCAGGTCATGATCCTGGAGTCCTGGGATCGAGTCCCGCATTGGGCTCTCTGCTCAGCAGGGAGTCTGCTTCTCCCTCTGACCCTCCCCCATCTCATGCTCTCTCTATCTTATTCTCTCTCTCAAATAAATAAATAAAATCTTTAAAAAAAAATTGCAAAACAAAATCACACTGAGATACTACTTCCTACCCACTAGGATGGTTATAATCAAAAAGGATAACAAGTGTTGGTGAGGCTGTGGAGAAATTGGAACACTTGTACATTGCTGATGAGACTGGCATTTCCTCAAAGTGTTAAACAGAGTTATTACTGGTCACAACAATTCTACTCCAAGCTATATACACAAGGGAATTGAAAACATATGTTCACATAAGACTTTCACATGAATATTCATTGTGGCATCATAGTAAACAAAAAGTAGAAACACCCAAATGTTCCTCAACTAATGTATGGATTTTAAAAAATAGTATATTCATACAAAGGAACAGTAATTGACAATAAAAATGTATGAAGTACTGATACATACTACAACATGGGTAAACCTTGAAAACATTATGCTAAATGAAAGAAGCAAATCACAAAAGGTCCCATTTTATGATTCCATTTATATGAAATGTCCAAAATAGGCAAATCCATAGAATCTGAATGTACATTAGTGGTTCCAGTGGCTGGGGGAGGAGAAAATGGCATTACTGCTAATGGGCATGGGGTTTCTTTTTAGGGTGACAAGAATGTTTTGGAATTAGATGGCTATGGATGGTTGTACAACTCTATAAGTATACAAAAACCAGTTAATTATACATTTTAAAAGAGTGAATATTATGGTATATGAATTACATATCACTAAAGCTTATATCTTTAACATAATGTGGAGAAAATCATATCATCTCAAGTGATATAGAAAATGCATTTGATAAAATTCAAAATCCATTCATGATTAAAAAAAAAAAAAAAACCTTAGCAAGCCAGAAATAGAAAGGACTTCCTTAATCTGACAGAGTATCAGTAAAAGTCTTTCTGCAAACATTATAATTAAAAGTGAAATATTGAAACCCCTCTCTATGACAAAGAAGAAACAGAAAGCATAATGATTGGAAAAGAGAAAATAAACTGTCATTTGTAGATGACATAATGTTCACTTAGAAAATCCAAATGGATCTACAGAGAGGTATAAAAATCAATATGTGATTTATTTGTACACAAACAAAAATTTTTTAAAGATTCCATTTACAAATGACATAAAAAATATCAGATACACATGAATAAATCTAAAGGAAGATGAACAAGATCTTTCTGGTTGAAATTACCAAACATTACTGAGAGAAATTAAAGAATAACTCATTAAAATACTTAAGTAAAGATTACCATAGTATATCATTTTGATGGGTTGGAAGACTCAATGTTATAAAGCAATTCTCCCTAATTTGAACTATTGATTTAATGCAATCCCAAATCAAAACAAAAAGCATTTGTGGAAACTGCACAGTGATTTGAAAATTTACATAAAATGTAAAGGACCAAGAACTGGCAATCTTTAAGAAGTAAAAAGGTGAGGAACTTACACTATTGAATATAAAGACTTATAAAACTATAGGAATCCAGACAGAGTGGTATTGGCTTAATTCTATGCCAAATAGAGGGTCTAGAAACAGATGTTTATATAATCAATCACTTGACCGATAACAAAGGTGACATTATAGTGCAGAGGGGAAAGATTGTACTCTAAATAAATAAAGGGCAGTGGGTCAATTAAATATATGCACAGAAAAAAAGTTAATCCATAGCTCTCACCAAACACAAAAATTAATTCTAGGATATGGTAGGTGTAAATGTAAATGCTAAAACAATAAAAGGTCCGAGAAGAAAACACAGGAAAAAAACTTCAATGTTTTGGTGTAGGCAAAGATGTCTTAAACAAGACACACAAAATAAAAGACTGATAATATGGACCCATTAAAACTAAGACCTTCTATTCCATAATTTGACACTAATAAGAAAGGCAAGCCACAGAGTGGGAGATCTTCACAATACATAAACCCAAGAGTTGACATATCTAGAATACATAAAGAAGTATAAATCAAGAACAAAAAGGCAAACTACCCAAACAAAGAATGGTAAAACACTTGCACAGATGCTTCATGAAAAGGGGTATTCACATCACCAAAATTTTTTGAAAAATTAATCAAACTCGTCAGGGAAATGCAACTTAAAACCACAAAAGGCCACAATACTATCATCAGGATTGGTAAAATGATGAAGACTGACAATAACAAGTGTTGGGGAGAATTTGGAGCAACTGCAGCTTTCACACCCTGCTGGTAGGAGGATAAATTGGTACAACCACTTTAAAAAACTTTTTGCTGAATAAATATATGGACTATGTTCAATCAAAGACATACACAAGAATAGTCAAAACATCACTATTCATAATAGCTAGAAGCAACTCAAATGTCCAGCCACAATTGAATAGAAAAATATATTGGGATGTAATATATTAGAATACTATGCAACAGTGAGAATGAATGAACCATAAGAGGAAAACATAAGGAATCTCTCAAACATAATGTTGAGCAAATGAAGCTAGATACAAAAGGAGTCCATCCTTCCCAATTCCACTGACACGAAGCTCAGAAGTAGGCAAGCCTATCTAAGATGTACAGAAATCACCTTAGGTGGCTTCTCTTAGAAGAGAGGTTTCTTGGGGCACCTAGGTGGCTCAGTTGGTTAGGCTGCTGCCTTCGGCTCAGGTCATGATCCCAGGGTCTTGGGATCGAGCCTCGTGTCGGGCTCCCTGCTCAGCCGGGAGTCTGCTTCTCCCTCTCCCTCTCCCGCTCCCCCTGCTGTGCTCTCTCTCTGTCTAATAAATAAATAAAACCTTAAAAAAAAAGAAGAGAGGTTTCTTTTGGGAGGGTAAGTGGACTGGAAGGGGGCTTGAAAGATTTTTGGGGATGCTGGACCTTTTGTGATTTGCTTCTTTCACTTAACAAAACATTTTCAAGGTTCATCCATACTGTATCATGCACAAGGAGTCCATGCATTTTTACTGTCAATTAATATTCCACTGCATGAATATACTATTTTTTAAAAATCCATACATTAGATGAAGAACATGTGGGTTGTTTCCACTTTTTGGTTACCATAAATAATGCCACTACGAACATTCATCATGTACAAGTTTTGTGTGATCTATTTCTTGATCTGGGTGCTGGTTATATGGGTCTGGTCACTTTCATAAAATGTATTGAAGTATACATTATTTGTATACATCCTTGTATGAATGGTATATTTCAGTAAAAAGTTTTTTAAATGAAATGAAACACGGACACCTACATTCCTTGCCTTTTTCCTGTTGTGGTGAGAAGCAAATCCTGCTGACATTGCTGCTTTCGGTTTGGTTTCTAAACTGGGAGCAGGTGAGGAAGTCAGGCCAGGAGGCATTCACCATCCCCAGGACTGATTCGCAACCCTCTTGGGCAGCCTCACAGAAGGACCTACAGGGCAGGAGTCCACGGCTAGAAGAAAACAAAAAGTGAAAATTAATATTTTTACTGACTCCTTCTTGAAATAACAATGAAATTAAAGTTGGCCACAAGTGCCGTGATACTATCTTAATTTATATTTACTACAGTCAACAACTTAAATTTCTACATTAAGTCCTAAAACAAGGATTGCAGCCACCCTATTCCCATGATTCTGGAGGGAATAAGCTAGGTCCATAGCATATCAGCCTACTATCTCTTGTAAAAGTATTTATCCCAATGATTTTTGTTTTTTAGATTTCCTGTGCTCAAGTAAACCTGTCAACCAAAGAAAGAGCTCTAGTTAATATCAAATGGAGTAAATTAACATAGAAAGGAAGGCCCCCAAATTGGAAAAGCAGAAGTAGGTCACAAAATAAGTTAATCTTGTTTCTTTAGCTTCCCTTTGAGAAATTAAAAGTATCTCTGAGAGGTAGACAGAAAGCTCCTCCTGGACCTCCACTGCCTCCCCAGAAAAAAATAGACAAATGGCAACTCAGTTGTGTATCTACAGTAATAAACTATTTATCTTCACTTTTTAAACAGTTATTTATCTTCTCAGATTTCTCCTTTATCTTCTGCAAAATAGAAAAATGCAAACAACTGCTGTTAATGGTAAGAGTAATGATGCCCCCAGAGCTTGCCTTTATTCATCTGCCATGCAATCAAACCCTTCTGGACGAGAATGTTACAATTCCAGTTGTAAATGTAGAAATGTTACAAGGCAGGGACTTGTTCTCTTGCAGACCCAGCGGGCATTTCCTACTTTGCAGCCACAGAATGCCTCTCTCACCCCGGCTGGGGATCTGGCAAAGCCATTTCAAATGGTTTTAAGGAAACTGGGAAAGAAACTATACACGTCAGTCAAGGCAAAGCACACACTTCACTCGGTAGGGTCACTGGGATGTTGCACAATCATACAATATGAGATCTGTCACAAACCTTAAGCAATACCTGGTTCAAATCCTCCATTTGAGACAGGCCCAGGAAGATTCTGGGATGGACTCGAGATCACACATCTTCTTAATGGCAGAAGCAGGAAGAGAATCCAGCAGTTTGAACTTTTGTTTTATGTTCTATCTACTCTTCCATACTGTCTATTTTCACATAAGGACCAAATAATTCGGCCTTAAAAATCCCTTGATTAAACAAGCACATTAAAATTCCCCATTCATACTTCTCTGAATTGCAGAAACATAATGGGATACACCAGCTACTGAGTTAAAATAGAACTGATAAGAGTCTGTAATAGAATCTTGAGAGAGGGATCTTGTTCTATATACAAATATGGAAAAGGGGTACTCGACAATTACATTCAGATGTAAATGAATGTAATTTATTTCCTCTGAGGAACTTGTCTCAAAACTCAGTACCTTGTAGAATCCTGATCTCCACATAATTATCTACCTACTAAATTTTGTTAATGAAGATGTGGAAAGAGAGGTTTTGCATTTGAAAGATTAGGTTTGGGCTATAAAATTATGAATTGGTCCAGACAATTTCTTGGTGTAAAGAAGACAGCTGACCACCATCGGGAAATACATAGATATTTATAGGACTAAGAAAGTGTCACTTAAATAACATTTTAAATCTTATTTCAGAGGGGCACCTGGTGGCTCAGTTGGTTAAGCGACCCACCCTTGGTTTCGGCTCAGGTCATGATCTGGATGAGGAGCCTGCTTAGGATTGTCTCTCTCCCTCTGTCCCTCTCCTTCTCCACCCCATCACATGATCTCTCATTCTCTCTCTCTCTCTCAAAAAACAAAAATCTTATCCTAGAGAAGTTAGAGACTATATTTTCTCAAATAAAACTGAAGGACATGGTTAACGAATCAGATCATAGAATTCTTATGCAACTGCTTTGCAACACTTTGCTAGGCTCTGTTCTAAGTGCTTTACATGCATTAACTCACTCATTTCTCATTAAAGCCCTAAGTGATAAGTACTACTACTATCATCCCAAATATACAAATAAAAAAAAAAAATGAAGCACAGGAAAACTAAGAGACTTGTCCAAGATCTCTGAGGTAGTGAATGTCAGAGCCAAGATTCAAACCCAGCCAGATTGATCCCAGGACCCACTTGGTTAACACTCTATTCATGTGAATCCATACTTCAGGAATGTGTGCTCCAAAAGCACAACTCAAGGTTAGTTCAAAACTTGATACTTAATATCAGAGATATTGCAGGCTTGGTTCCAGACCGCCACAATAGAATATTGTGAATATCACAATAAAACAAATCAAATGAATTTTTTGGTTTCCCATTGCATATAAAAGTTACATTAACACTATGCTACAGTCTATTAAGTATGCAATACATGTCTAAAAAAACAATGCACTGTGTACATACCTGAATTAAAAAATACTTTACTGCTAAAAATGCTAATCATCATCTGAGCTTTCAGTGAGTCATAATCTTTTTGCTGGTGCAGGGTCTTGCCTAGATGTTCGTGGCTGCTGACTGATCAGGGTGGGGGCTGCTGAAGGTAGGGGTGACTGTGGCAACTGCTTAAAATAAGACAACAGTGAAGTTTGCTACATCCTTGGACTCTTCCTTTCATGAGCAATTTCTCTGCAACAGTGATGCTGTTTGGTAGCATCTTCCCCACAGAGGAACTTTCAAAATTCAAGTCAATCCTCTCAAATCTTGCCACTGCCTGATAAGCTAAGTTTATGTTCTATTCTAAATCCTTCACTATCATTTCAATAATTTTCACAGCATCTTCACCAGGAGTAGATCCCACCTCAAGAATCCACTTTCTTTGCTGATCCATGAGAAGCAACCCCTCATCTGTTCAAGATGAATCATGAGATTGTAGCAATTCAGTCAAGTCTTCAGGCTCCACTTCTCATTCTAGTTCTCTTGTTATTTCCACCACACCTGCACTTACTTCCTCCACTGAAGTCTGGAACCCCTCAAAGTCCTCCATGAGGGTCGGAATCCACTTCTTCCAAACTCCTGTTCATGTTGGTATTTGGATCTTTCTCCATGAATCATGAATGTTCTTAATGGCATCTCGAATGATGAATCCTTTCCAGAAGGTTTTCAATTTACTTTGCCCAGATCGATCAGAAGAATCACTATCTGTGGCAGCTATAGTCTTATGAAATGTATCTCTTCAGTAATAAGACTTGAAAGTCAAAATGGATCCTTGATCCATGGGCTGCAGAATGGATATTTTGGTATGAGGCATGAAAACATTAATCTCATTTTATGTCTCCAACAGAGAGAGAGCTCTTAGGTAACCAGGTGCATTGTCGATGGGCAGTGATATTTTGAATCTTTTTTTTTTTTTTTTTTTCTGAGCAGTAGATCTGGCTTAAAATATTCAATAAATCATGGTTGTAAATAGATGTGCTATTATCCAGGCTTTGTTGTTCTATTTATAGAGCACAAGCAGAATAGATTTGGCATAATTCTTAAGGGCCCTAGAGATTCTGGAAAGGTATATAAACTATGGCTTCAACTGAAAGTCAACAACTGCATTAGCCCCTAACAGGAGAGTCAGCTTGTCCTTTGAAGCTCTGAAGCCAGGCATTGACTTCTCTCTAGCTCTGAAAGCCCCCGATGGCATCGTCTTCCAAGACAAGGCTGTTTCATCTACACTGAAAATCTGTTGTCCAGTGTGGCCACCTTGATTAATTATTTAGCTGGATCTTCTGGGCAACTCACCGCAGCTTCTCCACCAGCACTGGCTGCATCACCTTGCACTTTTATGTTCTAGAGAAGGCTTCTTTTCTTAAACCCCATGAACCAACCTCTGATAGCTTCAAACTTTTCTTGGGTAGCTTTTTCACTTCTCTGTCTTCACAGAATTGAAGAGAGTTAGGGCCCTGCTTTAAGCTTTAGGATTATGTTTTGGCTTAAGGCGATGTTGTGGCTGGTTTGATCTTCTATCCAGGCCACTCAAACTGTCTCCATATCAACAAGGCTGTTCTGCTTTCTTATCATGCATGTGTTCACTGGAGTAGCACTTTTAATCTCCTTAGAACTTTTCCTTTGCAGTCACAATTCGGGGGTGTGGCACAAGAGGCCTAGTTTTGGCCTATCTTGGCTTTTGACACTCCTTGCTTACTAAGCTTAATCATTTCTAGTTTTTGATTTAAAATATAAACACGTAACTCTTCCTTTCACTTGAATACTTAGAGTCCATTATAGGGTTATTAATCGGCCTAATTTTTACATTGTTGTGTCTCAGGGAATAGAGGGGACTGAAGGGAGGGAGACTGACAGGGGAAGGCCAGGGGAACGCACAGCACTTACCAATTAAGTTCACCCTCTTATGTGAGTGTGGTTCATGGCACTCCAAAACAGTTACAACAGTACATCAAAAATCACTGATGACAGATCATCATAACAAATATAATACTAATGAAAAGGTTTGAAATACTGCAAGAATTACCAAAATGTGACACAGAGATATGAAGTGAGCAAAGGCTGTTGGCAACATGGTACCTAGACTTGCTCGACACGGGGTTGCCGAACATTTATTAAAAAATGCAACACCTGTGAAGCACAATAAGGCAAAGAGCAATTAAACCAGGCATGCTTGCATGCACTTTCTGAGTGGACCAACAATATACACAGGGTTGGGTTCTCCCTTCATTCCACAAACTCCTAGTTAACCTGCAATGAATCAGTATTTGCCAAAGGAGCTAAGGAACACCAGGGAAGGATAAAGTCATTTCTCTTTTTTTTCCACGTGTGAGACAGCCCTGAGTAAAAAAGCAATCTGGGTTTGTCTTCAGCATTCTTCCCTTGCCTTCTAGTCCCTGACCTCGGTCCCAGTTTCTGACACCATCCTGGCCACCTCACTTAGATGGCCATCTCCACCAGAGTATTTCTGGCTCATCAACATTTTCTTCCCTTCCTACAATCAAAACTACATTCCCCAAATGATCAGATCCCAATTAGGCTGCCAAAGAAGAAGGATGAAAATAACACAGAGTAATTCATAATAACAGATGGACACTTAACCCTCCCAAAGGTTT